CACTGAGTGGAAGGCCTGGGTTCGAGTCCCAGCGCTGCTCTGGGTCAGTGAGTGACGGGATTGCCTTCTCCACGCCATCGTGTCCTCTGCCAACACAGGCTACATAGGACTTGCCTGTCTGCCTCTCAGAACCGAGGCGAGGAGCTTGCAGTTATGGCCCCGGGAATACATCAGTCGTCATCGTCTGTGGGTCCTGTCATTCGGGCCTCAGGCCCGGGGAGTGGGCTCCTGAGGGCAGTGCGGGATCATCTGTAGAATAAAGTGCTGGTGGACACGGTTCTATTGTTCACCGTGTGCCAGACCCTGTTTTAAACACTTCACCTGAGTTTACGTATTTATTCCTCACAACAACCCCATTTCACAACTGAGGAAACGTAACTTGCTAAAAGTCACAAAATAACTCGCTGAAAGCTGGGTGAGGGTTATGATAAGAGGGGTGCTCCCTGAAGGGCACCCCCTCCCTGGTTTCCAAGCCCCCTTTAGCCCTGCACAGCCCTCAGCAGGAGTCTTGACCGTATTCATGAAGCATCCCCACCGGTGTAATGTCTGCTTTGAGTGTTTGCACCCCTGGAGTGTAGAGGGGGCCACAGAGGGGGCCTGTCTGTCCCCATCTCTCCCTCCTGTTTGATCATCTCAGGAGCTGTCATTTAGCAAAAGAACACATGCATACTGTTCGGCCAGATGTTTTACACATATTGTCTTCTTGTTTGTTTTTTGGTTAATCCTCCTCCAAAGATATTTTCCCATTAATTTTTAGAGAGAATGGAAGAGAGAGGGAGAGACACAGAGAGAGAAACATCAATGTGAGAGAGACACACAGATTGGTTGCCTCCTGCACGCACCCTGACCTGGGCTGGGCATCAAGCCTGCAATCGAAGTGACTGGAATCGAACCCGGCGCTCCCTTCAGTCCATGGGCTGGCGCTCTAGCCACTGAGCAGACCGGCTAGGGCTGCACATATTTTTTAAACCCTCACACCAGCCCTGGGAGAAGGCATTATTATTCCCATTTTGTAAATGAAGAGGCCAAGGCTCAGAGAGATGAAGTAACTTACCCCGTGTCACCCAGCTCGTGGGTAGCAGAGCCAGGAATTCATCCCAGATTGTCAGCTCTTTCCATCTCTCTAAAACCGGTCTCTCCTCTGCCCACTGTTGCTTGTCACATGCCCCTGCTTTAGAGTCGTCTTAGCACCAAGTGTACTCGGAAACCATCCGGTTCGTTTCTGTTTTTCTGTTTGCTACCCGTTTCCCCGAAGATGCTCTTTCCGAGCTGGTCCCTGGCTTTCCCCGACAGCCTCGTCAGCACCAGCAGGGCAGCGGCTGGGAGCGTTTGTTGTGTGACGGGCTGGATGGAGGGATTATGTCGGGGCCCCTGACATGGGCTCTGGCCTGGTTGCCTTTGGAATCAGAAGATGCTGCTGTTGGCAGTGCCACCCTGGGGCGTGTGGAGGGGAGGCTGAGGTTAAGCGGGACAGAGCACAGAGCCCCTTTGGGGGCCTGCGACGCTGTGGGGGTTTCTGTTGGTTCAGGGTTAGAAACACAGTTCCAGACACTCTGGGGGTGAGCAAAGTGTGGGACGCTGACTCATGCTAACGAAATTCAGTGGGGGTGGGGGTGGCGGTGGGGAGGGTGGGGTGATGGACAAACTGAAATACCAAGGTCAGGGGGTCTGGCTACCTTGCTGCTAGCCAGTACTCCTCCAAAGGGGATATGTGCACCTGGGAGACGTCAGCCATGGGAAGGAGGAGTAGGAGTTCACAGCCTGGTGGCAGAAAGACAAGGACCTGAATTGGATGGACACACAGATTGATGCCTTGTTGTGGTGCTGGGGGGAGTAACCACACAAAAGGAGGGGTTGTGCAGGTCAGCCGTGGGCGCTGCCTGGAGGAAGTTACACATTGTATGTCCAGGCTTTATCTCACCTCTGCGCACCTCTTTAGGGCCAGGACTCTGTTCACTCCCTATGTCCCTCGAACCCTACAGCTCTCCCACCTCCTCTCTCCACCATCACCTGTGATCAGACAGGTGTGAACCCCTAGGGGGCTTTGTCCTCCTTCCGGGAGCCCAAGCCTTTGTGGGGTGGGGCTGGTTTGCCTTTAGGACGGGGGCGCTGACACTGAGGGAGGGGCTTTCCCAGTTCCGTCTTTTCCCTCTGGGCCCCCCAGCCCTGGGCACTGGGAGAGAGGTCGGGGGGAGCCAGTTTTTTGAGAACTTCTGGTCCCCGTGGGAGAACTTCTGTCCCTTGGAGAAGATGCTGGCACAGGCCCAGGGAGCAATGAGGGAAAATTAACAGGGCTTTGGGGAAAGGGAATGTGTAGTCTGTGGGTTGGGGAATCTTAGGGTAAGCTCTCTAAGATGGTTGGGGCTGGGTAAATGCTCTCAGGAGAAACTAAGGGGATGAGGGAAGCAGCTGGGCAAAAAGTGGTTCAACTGACTTAGCCTTTGCCTGTTCCTAGGGTCTGGGGGGGGGTGGGGGCTGAGGGGGGTGTCTGGAGCGTGAACAGCACCACAGTCATCCCATCTTGAGGCAAGAGGACTAGCATCTGCACCGTGTTTATCAGGCACTGGGTGGGTGTGTATATCGGGGAAGGGTGACCTCCTAGGCATTTCTGGGCCAAGCACTGGCTAAGGGCAATTCCCTGGGAAGGTGAGCTCTGTGCACCCACAGCCACCACTCAGAGCAGCGGGGTGGACGCACCGACCAGATGCGGGAAGCTGGGTGGAGCCCCAGCAGCCTCCCCTGCAGGGCTGCTAAGACGGCGATGCTCACTGGGTGATGACCAGTCTGTACGGTGATGCTCCCTGGGTGATGACCAGTCTGGACGGCGATGCTCACTGGGAGATGACCAATCTGTACGCTGATGCTCACTGGGTAATGACCAGTCTGTATGGTGCTGCTCACTGGGTGATGTCCAGTGTGTACGGTGATGCTCCCTGGGTGATGACCAGTCTGGACGGCGATGCTCACTGGGAGATGACCAATCTGTACGCTGATGCTCACTGGGTAATGACCAGTCTGTATGGTGCTGCTCACTGGGTGATGTCCAGTGTGTACGGTGATGCTCCCTGGGTGATGACCAGTCTGGACGGCGATGCTCACTGGGAGATGACCAATCTGTACGCTGATGCTCACTGGGTAATGACCAGTCTGTATGGTGCTGCTCACTGGGTGATGTCCAGTGTGTACGGTGATGCTCCCTGGGTGATGACCAGTCTGGACGGCGATGCTCACTGGGAGATGACCAATCTGTACGCTGATGCTCACTGGGTAATGACCAGTCTGTATGGTGCTGCTCACTGGGTGATGTCCAGTGTGTACGGTGATGCTCCCTGGGTGATGACCAGTCTGGACGGCGATGCTCACTGGGAGATGACCAATCTGTACGCTGATGCTCACTGGGTAATGACCAGTCTGTATGGTGCTGCTCACTGGGTGATGTCCAGTGTGTACGGTGATGCTCCCTGGGTGATGACCAGTCTGGACGGCGATGCTCACTGGGAGATGACCAATCTGTACGCTGATGCTCACTGGGTAATGACCAGTCTGTATGGTGCTGCTCACTGGGTGATGTCCAGTGTGTACGGTGATGCTCCCTGGGTGATGACCAGTCTGGACGGCGATGCTCACTGGGAGATGACCAATCTGTACGCTGATGCTCACTGGGTAATGACCAGTCTGTATGGTGCTGCTCACTGGGTGATGTCCAGTGTGTACGGTGATGCTCCCTGGGTGATGACCAGTCTGGACGGCGATGCTCACTGGGAGATGACCAATCTGTACGCTGATGCTCACTGGGTAATGACCAGTCTGTATGGTGCTGCTCACTGGGTGATGTCCAGTGTGTACGGTGATGCTCCCTGGGTGATGACCAGTCTGGACGGCGATGCTCACTGGGAGATGACCAATCTGTACGCTGATGCTCACTGGGTAATGACCAGTCTGTATGGTGCTGCTCACTGGGTGATGTCCAGTGTGTACGGTGATGCTCCCTGGGTGATGACCAGTCTGGACGGCGATGCTCACTGGGAGATGACCAATCTGTACGCTGATGCTCACTGGGTAATGACCAGTCTGTATGGTGCTGCTCACTGGGTGATGTCCAGTGTGTACGGTGATGCTCCCTGGGTGATGACCAGTCTGGACGGCGATGCTCACTGGGAGATGACCAATCTGTACGCTGATGCTCACTGGGTAATGACCAGTCTGTATGGTGCTGCTCACTGGGTGATGTCCAGTGTGTACGGTGATGCTCCCTGGGTGATGACCAGTCTGGACGGCGATGCTCACTGGGAGATGACCAATCTGTACGCTGATGCTCACTGGGTAATGACCAGTCTGTATGGTGCTGCTCACTGGGTGATGTCCAGTGTGTACGGTGATGCTCCCTGGGTGATGACCAGTCTGGACGGCGATGCTCACTGGGAGATGACCAATCTGTACGCTGATGCTCACTGGGTAATGACCAGTCTGTATGGTGCTGCTCACTGGGTGATGTCCAGTGTGTACGGTGATGCTCCCTGGGTGATGACCAGTCTGGACGGCGATGCTCACTGGGAGATGACCAATCTGTACGCTGATGCTCACTGGGTAATGACCAGTCTGTATGGTGCTGCTCACTGGGTGATGTCCAGTGTGTACGGTGATGCTCCCTGGGTGATGACCAGTCTGGACGGCGATGCTCCCTGGATGATGACCAGCCTGTACGGCGATGCTCACTGGGTGATGACCAGTCTGTACAATTACAAAGCCCCCCCACCCCCAGCTCACTGAAAAGCACAGGTCTCCTGTAAGGGTGTGGGATGGGGAGGAAGTGCCCCTGAGCTCCCTGCCTCTCTGGTTCTGGCCTGCGGGCTCTGGGAGGATTCTTTCTGAGCTCCATGGGGTCAGGCCTCCAAAGAATGACCTGGGAAGGTCTGGGCTGACCCCTTCCTCAGACATGCTTGGGAGGGAGTCTCAGACCCCTTCTCACCTCTTGTCTAATCCTCCCCGCTCTCTGTCAGCTCCAGCCCAGGCCCAGATCGTCCACGCGGGCCAGGCGTGTGTGGTGAAAGAGGACAACATCAGCGAGCGCGTCTACACCATCCGGGAGGGCGACACCCTGGTGCTGCAGTGCCTTGTCACCGGGCACCCTCGGCCCCAGGTAGGCCCCCATCCAGCCTGTGCGGCCCCTCCTCCCTCCCACCCCCACTCTGGGATCACAGCTTGAGAAGCTGAAGCAGGGGTTGGGGACTAGGGGCGATAGTGGCAAATACAGAGAAGACAGGAGATGGGGCTGGGGAAGTAGCTGGAAAATGAACTCCCTGGGGGAAGGGCTGGAGGCTGCGGGCTTATTCGCCTGGAAACATTGATGGCCAAGGGGAAAAACTGAGTGTCAGGTATTCGGTTCCACTCCATCCCTCGTGTCTGTGAGCAGACACATCCTCAGATGCACCTTCAGCCCCAGTTAGAGGCCGTGTGCCAAGCGCTAGGGTAGGTGCTTTCTCCAGTGTTTTCTCATTGGCTCATCACAACCATTGTTTTCCCTGCTACTTAGGCTCAATCCCTGGGCTCATATTTGGAGATTGAGGTTCAGGGAGGTTAGGTAAACTCCCAAGGCCAGACAGCTCTGGTGAAGGTGGACACAGAATTTGAATCCAGAACCAGTGTTCTCTGTAGCTTGGCACACTTCCTCCCAGGGCATCCGTCTTGGATTGGGGACTCCAGGAATTACCAGCAACATTTAATACAATCTCTACTTTTGGAGGCTTCTGCTAGACAAGCCCTACACTCTGGAGATTAAAAGACTCAAAGCAATTAGAAAGCAACAGATGCTGAGAATCTGGAAATGCCAGGTGAATCTTGTCCCAGACCAACAGAATGATTCAGACAGGAAGCCGAGACTGGTTATCGCCGAGAACCACTGGGAGGAGGCAGGAGGCGGTGGGCTGGAGGGAGGATGCAATTTGCCGGTGAGCTGCTGTGACCTTTAAGAGGAGCAGAAGAGGTTTCGATTGGATCCTAGAAGGAGAGTGAAATGTGAAATCAAATGTCCTTTCTCAGGACAATTTTAGGAACAGGGATGGCTTTAGTAGGTTGGGCCTTGAGATGAGCAGATGGCCAAGGAAACCCCCAAGGACTCTTCGGGCCTGACGCTATGCCTGCTGCTTGCTCCTTCTCTGAGGTTTGTTTAGAGGCGAAAGCGGTGCTGCCAGCCTTCAGGCCGGTGTTGTGTCAGGTGTGACGATTAGGGATGGTTCTCCTGACGCCAGGGAGGCAGCTGGGCCATCTCTCCCTAAGGCGCACTAGCCATCTGTGGGTGTCCCCTGTGTATGAGTCATCTGTGGTTGTGGCTGTCTGTACAAGCCTTCATCTTTCCATTTCCATCCAAGGTTTCATTGTTTTTCCTGCTACCTAGGCTCAACCCCCTGGGCTCCTATTTGACTCTGTCCCATCTCATTCCCCACAGATAGCCGGCCTCTGAGGCCTGTCTTTCTATGCCCTTGCATGGGTCTTCTCCTCTCTATTCCTCATTGCTCCTCTAGGTCAGACCTTCAGTCCTGTTTCTTGGTCCCCTGCAGTAGACTCTCACTGGCCTCCCATTCTCCCAAGTTTCCCCCTCCAATCCATTCCTGCACCCTGACCCCAATCGTCATCCTCCAGCCGGCTACATCATATCATTGCCCTGCTCCGAAACCTTCGATGGCTCCCTGTTAGCAACCAGACTCAGCTCAGGTTTCTGGAGGTAGAATTGAAGACCTCCCACAATCCGGCCCCCTCCTGCCTTTCCTATCTCAGCTCCCACTGGCATCCTCCTCACACCCTGTGTTCCAGTCGAACTTGCCCAGTACACCCGGCCCATTCCTGCTTTAACCACTGCAGCTCACCTCTCCTGAAACGCCTTCAGTTGTTCCCTTTCTCACTCGTTTCATTACAACCAATATTTATTGAGTCCCTGCTATGTGCCAAGCCCTGTGATGGGGCACAAGGATATAGCTACGGTCCTGTTGTCATGGAGCATCTAGTCTCAGGGGAGCAGCCCCATCTCATGGCCCCCTGTGTGGGGGACTGAGTGGGCGGGGCATTCTCTACTCCAAATGTCATGAGAGGGAACCCCTGGGGCCAACATGCAGAGGAATCCATAGCGATGGTAGTGAGCAGAAGCTGAAGAACCTAGTTCGTGGAGGGCCGTGGAGCACCTGGACCTCAGGGGCAGTAGGGTTCATGCACACACGGAGGGGACATGAGTTGAGGCCACAGGGCCGTCCATGGCTGGGGAGCTGGAGCTGGACTCTATCTAACGCTGGAAGCTCGACATGAGTGGCACCACCTATCACTGGAGACCAGAGACCTCTGTCCACAGCCCAGAGTCACAGCCAGGAGTGGACCCTCTGCTTCAGGATGTGGGTGCACACAGTCACCTAGGAGAGAGCGTGACCCTAAGCCTGTCGCTGTCTTGCACTATCCAAGTGGTGAGGAAACCCTGAGCTGAGAAACGAACATAAAAACTGGTTGGAACCTGTGCACCCATGTATATTGGACATAGGCAGCCGTAAAGCTACACCACAGACAGGGAAGGATAAAGCAAACCACATCCTAAGCAGTAGGGAAACAAACGCCATCTAGACAATCATGTTAAAACCGCACAAGCCACCTACAAAAAGAAAACATATTTCCATGGCCTTGTTCTCTCTCCAAAGCACCCTGTGGTCTAAGTGCGGATTGCCTGAAACGGCCTGCGTCCTTCCCCAGGTTCTGCAAGCTCTAAGCCCATGAGGGTAGGGTTGTGTGTCACGGGGATGAGAGTAGCAACATTATGGCCTGCAGTGGCCCCTCCCTGCGTGAGAAGGTTGTCCTTTCACCGACTTCTCCCAGCCTTTTTTTTCATGACCTGTGGCCTGACCTAGTCACCAGGCTCAGGGCCCTGGCCCTGTCTCAGTAACAAGCAGTCCTCCTCAACTTTAGATGGAAACGTCCCTATCACATCCTCTGATCCTTAGGACTTAGTCATCTGAAACGGGTCAGTTTTTCTCGAACCTCTGGTACTTTCAACAGTAGCTCCAGTTTCTTGGGTGATCCTTGATTGTGTCCACCATCTAAGGCAGTGGTTCTCAACCTTCTGGCCCTTTAAATACAGTTCCTCATGTTGTGACCCAGCCATAAAATTATTTTCATTGCTACTTCATAACTGTAATGTTGCTACTGTTATGAATCATAATGTAAATATCTGATATGCAGGATGTTCTTAGGCGACCCCTGTGAAAGGGTCGTTCGACCGCCAAAGGGGTGGTGACCCACAGGTTGAGAACCGCTGACTAAGGCAATGTTAATAATAGCCATTTATTGAGTGACTCATATATACCAGGCCCCACACCTAGCTGCTTTACATACTTTATTCCTGAACGTCACAATGACCCTGCAAAGTGGGTGTTAGGCTACATAACAGTTATAGTTATCTATTGCTACAGAACAAGTGCTCCAAAATGAGGGGCTTAAAACAGCAAACACTATTGTCTGACGGTTTCTGCGGGATAGGCAGGGTGGAGTGGCTGAGTTGGCTGGCGCTGGCTCAGGGTCTCTCAGCGGCTGCAGTCATTTGAGGACTGACTGGGGCTGGCACATCCCCTTCCAGGCCACTTCCAGGTGCTGACCCGAGGCTTCCCGCCCTCCCTGTGGGCCTCTCCATAGGGTTGCTCATGACATGACAGCTGGCTTTCCCCAGAGCGAGAAAGTGACCAAGATGGGTTGGAGGTGACGTACCATCATCACTCCTGCCCTATTCTACTGGTCACACAGACCATCTGGTACTAAGTGTGAGGGGACTACAGAAAGGTGTGATACAGGAGGCAGGCAGCATTCCAGGCCAGCATGGACACTGGCTACCACCTAGACCTCTTGCACAGATGAGAAATCTGAAGCCTTCCAGGCAATAAGTATACATTAATTTAATACCCCCAGTCACCCCAGGAGGGTGCAATATTCTCCATTTTACAAATGAGGAAAGGAAGGCAGGAGAGGCTGGGCAAGTTACCCACAAGTCCATGCTCCAAGCACTGCACATACTGCCTTCTTTAAAGCTTAGCCGTCTGACCCCGGATTCCCCAGGCTCTTGGCTGACATGTCCTATCTTGCCTGCGCATTCCCACAAGTCGGTTTGGGTTGGTTTCCTAGGCCGCGTAAGCTTGTGAAGGGGAGACACATTGCAGGGTTCAGCCTGGAGGCCCCCCACCTTCACTGCGGGGTCTGAATCTGCTCTCCCTGCCTGCCCAGGTGCGGTGGACCAAGACTGCGGGGAGCGCGTCCGACAAGTTCCAGGAGACGTCCGTGTTCAATGAGACGCTGCGCATCGAGCGCATCGCGCGCACGCAGGGCGGACGCTACTACTGCAAAGCCGAGAACGGCGTGGGCGTGCCCGCCATCAAGTCCATCCGCGTGGACGTGCAGTGTGAGTTGGCGCCCTTCCTGTCTGTCCTGGCCCCTCCCTGTCCATCCTGGCTTCGGGAGACCCCCTGGGGCTCAGGCTGGGTAGGAGGAGTGGGGGTGGAGTGCCACAGAGAACCGACACCTCCGTGGAGGACAGGAGACACTTCCTCTCGTCCATGCTGGAGAGGGAAATCGCTGCTGCATCCCTGCGGTTCCTCCGATGTGTACTACCCTATGCCACTCACACTTTCCTGTCCCTAATCCCTTATGAATCTCGCAACATCCCTGCCAGAGGGCAAGACAGGTTGGATTATACCCATTCCACAGATGAAGAAACTGAGGTACCAAGGGCTCATGTCTTGTTCAAGGGTATAGGTCTCTTCATTATGGTCCAGTGCCCTTCCCGCATACCTCATGCCTCTGATTTTGTCCCAGGGCAGCTCTGAAACTTCCTTACCCGACCACGTGCAGGAGCAAGCACCCGTCAGTTCTTGCTGCTTGAATGGGAGGCAGTCCCTACCTGCCTCCATGGATATTCCCTTAATCCCGAGGCTAGCTCCCTGCTTGCCACCCGCCCCTGTGCCTATCCAGGCTGACCCAGGTATCCAGCACCTGTGAGGCCAGGCCCAAGGGCCTGGCTTATACGATCTTAATGTCTACAATGAACTTACCCATTAAAGACACCTCACACTACCCTAGTGGAGCCCAATAGAGTGGTGAGCAATGGAACCCCAGGTCCTCTCTTCTGTCCCCCATCAGCCACCCAGGGGCCTGCCAAACTCTGGGACTGAGGGTCATTTCTCGAGTTATTGGTGCTGGAAGGGGCTGGCAGGCATGCCCTGGACTTCATCACTGCCCCACCTCTGCCCGTGGCCTTGGTAATGATCTTTATCTCAGTGGACCGTGGAAGGAGGACAGAATGTTGGGCTGTTGGAACATCCACTGAAGGATGTGTGCATGTGGAATGACGGTGCCTTTGGTTCACAATCCTGGTTGCACATTAGAATCTCGGGGGGGGGGGACCTTTAAAAAATTATTAATGTCTGGGTCCTGCTTTCAGAGATTCTGATGTAATTGACTGGGGGTGGGGCCCCGACATTGGGTGTGTGTTTTTTAATTGAGGATTAACCTACATGCAAGAGAGTGCACTAGTCACAAATGTACAACTTAATGAATTCTTACATGTGTATGTGCCTGTGCAAACACCACCAGTTCAAGAGAACCTCCAGGACCTAGAAAGTTCCCTCATACCCCCGCTGTCAGTAATCTTCTTAGAGGCAATCACTCTTCTGATTTCTGACACCGTTAATGAGCTCTTCCAGGCATCGGTATTAAAAAGGAAATCTCCATGTGATTCTATTGTGCAAACAGGGGCGAGAACCGCCAATCTGGTCCAATTTACTCCTGAGGAAACTGGCAGGGAGGGGCTTAGGCAGGTCTCACTACAAATTAATAGCTGGCCTGGGATTTGAACCAGGCTGCATCTGCTTCCTCCATCCCATGCTGGGAGGGTGAAGATAGACAACCCCCGTGCCGCTTCCTGGGGAGGGAGGGACAGCTGAGGAGTCATCAAGTCCAGCCCCCTGATCCTAAAGTTGGTCAAGCTTGCAGGGCTGGAAGCGCATCTGGAAGCACCCGTGAGGGTGGCTCAGCTTTCCCTGAGGGCTGTCAGGAGCCCAAGCCCCCCCCTAGGGGTCACCCAGTCCTGACTCCCCTGGGGCTGTGTCCTTGCAGACCTGGACGAGCCGGTGCTGACGGTGCACCAGACGGTGAGCGACGTTCGAGGCAACTTCTACCAGGAGAAGACGGTGTTCCTGCGCTGCACCGTCAACTCCAACCCGCCGGCCCGCTTCATCTGGAAGCGCGGCTCCGACACCCTGTCCCACAGCCAGGACAACGGCGTGGACATCTATGAGCCCCTCTACACCCAGGTCAGGATGGGCAGTAGCTGGCCTGGTCTCCTCATAGCTCACCCTGCACTTCCTCCTGCACCAAACCAGGGAGGGGACACGGGGGCTGAGGCCTCACCATCTGCAGGTCTTGGGGCTGCCCTGGCTGATACAGCATGTTCTGACATCAGACACTCTGGGGCAGATGAAACGGGACGAACAGCTCAGGGAACAGTGATGGGGACAGGAGCGTCCTCAGGGCAACAAGTCCTTCTGGAACATTGCCAGTTAGGAAAGACAACCCCTAGAGCAGTGGTTCTCAACCTGTGGGTCGCGACCCTTTTGGGGGTCGAATGACCCTTTCACAGGGGTCGCCTAAAAGACCATCGGAAAACATATATATATATAATTACATGTTGTTTTTGTGATTAATCACTATGCTTTAATTATGTTCAATTTGTAACAATGAAATTGGGGGTCACCACAACATGAGGAACTGTACTAAAGGGTCGCGGCATTAGGAAGGTTGAGAACCGCTGCCCTAGAGGGAGGCGAGTCACCCCTGCCCGCTGCTGGCTGTCAGAGTATTGGAACCCCCTGGGCAGACGCAGCAGGAGTTGGGGGCAGAGAGATGACTCCACTTCCCATAGGCCCCCTAGGGTCCCAAGAAATGGTGATGAACATTCCTACCAGGGAGGGCTTTCAAAGGCGGCTTTTGGAAGTGGCTGCCAGAGTGCCACATGTGGCCTTGGCCTGTGGGATTAGCTCCATATTCGTGAGAGCAGGGTTCCCTCCCTACCCCTCCATTTTCCAAAGCGGAGAAACTGAGGCCAGGTCCTGGCCAGTGTGCACCAGGGCAGTTCCAGACCCAGAGAAACCCAAGGTTTGGGGAGTGCAGCATCCCCCCCAGACTCAGGCTCCCTGGGGATAAATGGTGTGGAGATGGGGGAAGATCGGCATTTACTTCAGCCCCTGGTGCTGGATAATGAGTGAGGGACCCCTGGAGACCTGAGCAGACCCCTCACACCAGTGGTCCACTGCTGCCCAGGGGGAGACAAAGGTCCTGAAGCTGAAGAACCTTCGGCCCCAGGATTACGCCAGCTACACCTGCCAGGTGTCTGTACGCAACGTGTGTGGCATCCCGGACAAGGCCATCACTTTCCGGCTCACCAACACCACGGGTACAGGCACTTCCCCGCCCACACCCTTGCCCACCTGAGCTGACTCCCCACCCAGGAGACAGTGCCTCACCCCATACAGAACTCTAGGCACATCACCACCAGTGCATCCCTGCTCCCCTCTGCCTGCTCCCTGCCTTCTCCCCTTTCTTTCTTCTCCCCATCCTTCCCCAACCCCATGGTTTTCCTAGCTCCTATATCCCCACATTCAGCCCTGCCTCCCACCCGCCTAAGACCCCACCTCCTTGTCCTCTTAGCACCACCAGCCCTGAAGCTGTCTGTGAATGAAACGCTGGTGGTGAACCCTGGGGAGAATGTGACGGTGCAGTGTCTGCTGACAGGCGGTGATCCCCTACCCCAGCTGCAGTGGTCCCATGGGCCAGGCCCGCTGCCCTTGGGGGCTCTGGCCCAGGGTGGCATCCTCAGCATCCCTTCAGTGCAGGCCCTGGACTCTGGCTACTACAACTGCACAGCCACCAACAATGTGGGCAACCCCGCCAAGAAGACCGTCAACCTGCTGGTGCGATGTACGTGGCTCCGGAGGGGTGGGGGTGGGGGGGAACTCAGAGGCAGACAGGGTCCCTGTCCTCCAGGAACGACCGATGAAGTGGGAGAGGGGCCTGTCTGCTTCCTCTTGGTAGGTGATATATGCTGAGAAGGCATGTTCCAGGCACTTTTATTTCCCTGCAGATGGCAGGATTAAATTTTGTGTAAAGTTTTATTTACAATTTACAATCTACATTTCCAAATATAAACTCAACAATCCAAGAGGTAGGGAGGACTGGTATTGAGTACCTACATTTTTTTTTTTTAAGATTGGGAAACATGTTACAAAAAGCTAAGTATGGACTTCCAGTCTTTAGGAGAAATTTCCTGGCTTTCTTTTTGGGGAGGGCAGGTTTTAAAAGAGGCCAGACCCTTTACTTTGTAAACTCTGAGCTTTAATGTAACTGCCCTCCCCATCCACCTGTTTTCATTTGGCCTTTAAAACTGGAGTTGATGAGGTCTCAATTTACATCCAATACTTATGGTCACTTCTTTTTTAAAATATATTTGTATTGATTTCAGAGAGGAAGGGAGAGGGGGAGAGAGAGAAAAAAATCAATGATGAGAGAGAATCATTGATCGGCTACCTCCTGCACACCCCACACTGGTTATCGAGCCCACAACCCAGGTGTATTCTCTGAGTGAGAATCAAACAATGACTTCCTGGCCAGGCTCTTATGGTCACTTCCTAGGGGGACATACAGCTTGCTTCGTCCAACCCAGCAAAGGATACCAGTGGCTGTGGTATCAGTGTCCTGTCCAATTAGCATCCAATATTAAGAGTCATGTCTAACTCTTGCATTACATCAAGCAATATTTAGCTTTTAAAAGAGGCCAGACCCTTTACTTTGTAAACTCTGAGCTTTAATGTAACTGCATGTAAAATTATTGTATTGGGCTCTTACTATAACAATCACAATAACTTGCTGAAAAGAGTTAAATGGCACCAAAGTAAAATGTACAGACTAAAATTTCCCCTCAGTTTCCCTCAGTCCCACTGTCTAGATAGAACCACTATTACATTCTGTTGCATCCTTACAGAATTTGTATTTTGTTCATTCAAGGTTTAAAACGAGAATACAAATAAAGTAGCGCAGTGGTTACGAGCACAGGCTCGGAATTAAACTGAGTGTCGGTTCGCTCCTTGTAAAACAGGGACGATAAAGTGCCTCCCTCACAGACCGGGGGATGAGTTAAATGAGTCAACCTGTGCAAAGTGCGTGGAACAGTGCCTCTCACCAAGTGTATGTTCAGTAACAGTGACTCTAATGATCACTAAACCCACTTTTCTGCAGCGAGCTTTTTTAAACTCTTAAAAACACATCTGAACAAGTAGAACAATTTCCAAGCAAAAGGATGGTTTCTGGTGGTGGTGGTGGTGGTGGGAGGGTGTAGTTCCCAACCTGCAGGAGGGCCACTTTGAGGGGAGGAGCTGGGTCTGGGGAGGGGTGGGACATGACCCTGGCTTTGGGCCAGCCCCAGCCAACCTGCCCTCCCCACCCACCTGCAGCCATGAAGAATGCCACATTCCAGATCACCCCAGACGTGATCAAAGAAAGTGAGAACATACAGCTGGGCCAGGACCTGAAGCTCTCGTGCCACGTGGATGCGGTGCCCCAGGAGAAGGTGACCTATCAGTGGTTCAAGAACGGCAAGCTGGCACGCATGTCCAAGCGGCTGCTGGTGACCCGAAACGACCCTGAGTTGCCTGCGGTCACAAGCAGCCTAGAGCTCATTGACCTGCACTTCAGCGACTATGGCACCTACCTGTGTGTGGCTTCCTTCCCAGGAGCACCTGTACCCGACCTGAGCGTCGAAGTCAACATCTCCTCTGAGACAGGTGGGCAGCTGGAGGGGCAGCGGGGAGGTGTGAAGGAGCTGGAGAGGCCCACAGAGGGGAGAGGGGCAGGGGGTGGGGGTGGGGCAGCAGCTTGGGAAAGGGAGGCCAGAGTGGAAAGACTCCTTTTGTTCATGCCACACACATTTATCAAGCACCTATTCTATGCCAGGCACCGTGGTAGGTGCTGGGGTAGAGTGGTGGGCAAAATAGGCTCTGCCCTCATTGAACTAAGTAGGAAGGCAAACATTTTTCAGATAGCCTCACAGATGAATGTGCCACTGGCAAACTGTGATGCCTGAGACAGGAAAGAGTTCGCTAAGATAAAATCTTTGGTCTGCGATCTGAGGAGGGAGGGGTGGGATCTTACGAGGCAAAGGAGAGCAAGGGAGGGTGGAAGAGAAAGGCAGGTCAAGGAATCAGCAAATAAGGGCACTGAGGCAGGGCAGGGCGGGGGCCGTTTGGAGAACTGAAGGAAGGACAGCGTGGCTGGGGGGATGGGGTGAATGAGAGCACAGAGGCCAGCGGGGGCCAGGTTATGCAGGGGATCTGGGTCGCTGTTCCAATAACAATAAATAACAATAATGAAATAATAATGGCTAACGTTTATTGAGTACTTCCTATGTGTTCTAATGATTTTTATATTTATCTTATTCGCCTTCATGATTTACCTTATGGGATAGATAATTTAACTTCAGTTTTTAGAGACAAAGAAACAGGCTCAGAGAGTTTAAGAAGCTTACCTAAGACATCCTGCCTGGGTGGCTCCGTTGTTTGGCCTGTTGTCCTGTCCACCAAAGGGTTAAGGATTCAATTCCTGGTCAGGGCACACACTTAGGTTGCTGGTTTTGATCCCTGGTCGGTGCATATATGGGAGGTAACCGATAGTTGTTCTCTCTCACATCCACATCGATGTTTCTCTCTCCCCTCTTCTCTATAAACATATCCTCAGATGAGGACTAAAAAAAATAAAAAAAATAAAAACTTACCTAAGGCAACATAAGGTAACACAGCAGTAAGTGGTGGAGATGAGATTTGAACCCAGACCATCTGCCTTCAGAGCCTGAAGGGTCTACCCTTTGAGAATGACAGGAGCTGGAGGGGATGGCTCTGGAGGGGGTTTCTGGAATCTCGTTTCCAGTCCGCAGCACATTGCACCGAGGAGCTGGCTGACTCGGCGAAGCCTCTTTCACTCCCTGGGTCTCAGTTTCTCTTCTGTGAGCCATCGGACGAGACAGCCTTGGTGGCCCTTCCTTCTTGACATCCGCACACGGGGAGGGGTCAGGAAAGGCTTCCGAGCGGGCCTTTATGAATGGGCCAGGCCTCCACAGATTCCACAAACTTATCTCACCAATCATTGTGTGCCGGCCCTGGGTGGGGAGCTGGGGACCCAGACACAAATGCCACAGCCCGTCTCAGAGCCCGCTGCCCAGCTGGGAGAGGCATCTGTTGGGGTAAAGCAGGAATTGGAAGGGCAAACCTTAGAAAGGGAGCTAAAGGCAAGGTCTGCAGAGCATCCTGGGGACATGCGAGAAGGAATCCCAGGCGGCCAGGGAGGAGCCATGCTCCATGTGAGCATTTGCTCGGCGAGGGGACGGCGGCGGGGGGGAACACCCATGGGGTATGAGACTTGGCTTGTCAGGGAGTATATTCCTTATAAGTGGGTCCCACAGCTGGGACACAGGAAAGGAGAGGGAAGATGAGACTGGGGTGGCAAAGGCCAGAGCACAGGGCCTCCCTTACAGAGCCAAGAAGTTTGAGCTTTAACCTGAGGGCAGTACAGCCTCAAAGGGGGAAGGACTGTGGGTGAAGAAGTGTTGGGAGCTGGGATGTTTTATAAATGGAAACCAATGGAGCACAGGGCCATTTCCTCCATTTGGTTCATAAGCCTAATTAAGGCATGGAAGCTTATTATTATTTTTTTAATCCTCACCCAAGGCTATGTTTTTTCACTGATTTTAGAGAGAGAAGAAGGGAGAGGGAGAGAAACATTGATTGGTTGTCTCCCGTATGCACCCCTACAGGGGATTGACCCAGAAACCTGGGTATGTGCTCTCACTGGGAATTGAAGGAGACCTTTTGGGACAATCCTCCAACCAACTGAGCCACCCAGCCAGGGCAAGGCATGGAAGCTTTTTAAGGGCCCGTGGAAACGGTTTAGACCTGGAAAAATAAATTAATTGGCGCCAAAATACAAAGGGAAAGCTGCAAAATTAAAGCCAGTAAATGTATAAATGTTTATAGAGTATAAATTATGCTAACTAGATAACTGGATCTCAGCATGCCTTGTAGAGTTATTTGCAATTTACATTTAATGTAGGACATTTTAATTCGTTTGATGTGATGCAGGATGGGACCCATGGAACCCTTTAAAAGACCCTCCATTTGGGCATTATGCTGGGTTGGATTAGGTTTGGCTGTGAATAACAGGAAAACTCTTAATAAAAGTAGCTCGAATAAGTTAGCGGTGTATTTCTTTCTTCAAGCAAAAGTGAGCAGTCCAGGCTGGAATAGTGGCTCTGCTGCACCAAGTCCCCGGGGCCCCATACTCCGTCCTGTCTTGCTGTTCCGTTTTCCTTAGCACTCGCCTCCCGCCTCCTCCACGGTGGCAGCTCCAGCTGCAGCCTCCAGCCTGCATTCCAGCATGCAGGCAGGAGAAGCGTGGCAGGACTTCTCTTTGTTAGAGACACTTGCCTTCCGCCACATCCCGCTGGCCAGAATGTAGGCTCATGGTAGCCACAGGCAGGCTGGGAGATACAGTGTTCATTCTGGCCCTGGTCCTGCTATAACCCAGATGTTGGGGCTACAGACTAGCCATCTGTGGTAACACTCCAGAAAGAAGGTGGTGGCTTTAACTAGAGCAGGACCAGCGGCCAGGAGAGGGGAGATCGAGGGAGGAGATACTACTAGAATTGTTTAAAAGGTGGAATCCCCCAAACGGAGTGATGGTGGGGTAAGGGAGCAGAAGGAATAGGCCGGGACGATTTAGCTCTTTTTCTGAGTTGGGAGAGACTCCGTAGAGACCCGGGAGGTGGGAGGATTTGTGGAGGTGAGTATTGCTGGGGAATAACTGAGCTCTGGGGGACCATGGGATGGGGAAGGGAGGGGACGCCTGGGGTGGGGAAGGGAGGGTCGCACCTAGGGAGAGGGAAGGAGAAGCCCCAGAGCGGAGGCCACGGGGTACCTGCCTCTAACCCGCCCCTCCACCCTCCAGTGCCTCCCACCATCAGCGTGCCCAAAGGCAGGGCCATCGTCACCGTGCGCGAGGGCTCGCCTGCCGAGCTGCAGTGCGAGGT